TTTCCTCTTCGGGTCTCGAATACTCGGTCAAAATGCCCCGGTATAACCACACCGAGCCCTTAATCACCGGTTCGATGGCTCTAACCGGCCCTAGGCTATAAAATCTAGTCATGCTTCTCCAGTGCTCGTGATTGCTCCAAAATATCTCGGGAAAATACTCCAAAAGTGTAAATCCCTGCAAAAGTCAACCAAATCTACGAAAACACAAGAAAACATTAATTAGTAATAAAAGTGGCTCTAAAGAGCCAAAAACACTACTAATTATGACCAAGGGACGGGGGTAAAATACTATATAAAATAGACACATCAATTACTGCTTGAGTCAAGTTGCAGCTAAGCAAGATCTAGCTAGGAAAGCTGTTGATTATCTCATTGATGTGTGTAATCTTGAAATAGTGGATGCTAATTATAGGGCAATGACGTGTAGGTTTGATGCTTTGCTATGTGTTTTGGAGAGGGAAAGTTATTTTAGTGTGAAGGAACGTGTGTTGGGAGTTAAAGAACAATTGGAACCTTCTTCAGGTCTTGTAGAACAAGACTGTGTAGTTCCTGTTGGTGGGGAATTTCAAGTTCCAATATCTTATCCACCTATTATAGCTTTCAGTAAGATTTAACTAAAATCTCAAGTTCCAGAATCATTTGTTATTTCCGATTCCAACATTGAAGAAATCCCAAAGGGGGAAGACTCTTAACATTTACATGGACGTTTTAAGCGTGTAAGGCTTTTAAAGGATTAGATGACTTGGGTTTAACATGGTATTGAAGAATTTTTAACTGCTTGTTGTGTGGTCTTTTGTTGCTTGTTGCTTCAACTGGGTTGGTTTTTTGTTGGATCATGTATTTGAAGTTGCTTGGCTTATGTATGTTGCACAAGATAGTTTGTTGTAATGCTTGTGCATTGAACTCTTTTAAGTAAATACATAGATTAGAGTTCAAAGTAGATATTTTGGTTATGTAATGGTTGTAATGGATTATATGTAATTAATGATAATGAACACTTTTTAGTTGTTGCTATACTTTTCTTTTTTGAACTTTCTTGCAGTTTGTTATCTAATTTTGTGGATTTTTAAAGCTTATGGTATGTCTTGTTATGAAAATTCCAATTACTTAGAACATAAGTTACGTGTAGAAAAAAAAGGTTGCTTGATACAACGACGCTTGCAAGGAAGACGTATTGTGTAATTTGCAAAGAACAATAGAAAATGGGTGAGTTTTTTCATGTATCTAACAATGAAGATCTAGGGAAGTTTTTTTTACAGTGAAGTGATTTTAGGACAATAGTTTGTAAAATTAATGTTAATTACTGATTATGTAGATCGATTATTACAAGCACCAACGACATCATATAAATACAGGACTAAAGTCAAAGAGGGTTGGAAATTGAAAGTAATGAAATAGAGGCTGTCAATGGGTCTAAAAAGAAAACAAGAAAAGGAATTCAAGTGCCGAGTAATTTCAAAACTCTTATTTGTAGTAAACATATTTTATATTGAAATGAATTGAGATGGAGATAATTGCTTATGAATTTATTATTTATGTTTAATAAGCACCTTCATCAACAAGGACAAACACTAATAGCCACCTTGTAGATTTGGAGAGAAGATGTACTGAACAAATGCAAAGGTACTCAAAGGTTGAATACTTTGGTATCAGAGCAAAATTTATTATACTTTGTTGTGTTACTATTATTAATTTTTGTTTTAAAATTTAAACTGAATTTGTGTTTTTGTAATTTTGTAAAAAGGTTACAGGAGCAGCTTAATGAAAATTCAGGAAAAGAAAAAGGCAGCGCAATTGAAGTTTCAAGTAATTTTAGTGTCTTCTTAGAGAATTCCTACATGTGTTTAAGAATAATAAAAATTAGGGTTTTTCTAAGCTATACCCCTAAGGTATTCGAGTATCTAAGGTGTACCCAAGCTTTTTCAAGTTTCTAAGTTGTGCCCCTCAACTTACTACCATTACTGAATGGTACCCTCCTTGGGACTTCTACGTCACCTAAAGTTAACAATAAATTTAATAGAAAGATGATAAAAGTGTAAGGAAATGGTAGGAGAAAGAAATCTTATCCACCGCAACCCTAATAATGAAAACTGGTGCCACGAAATCACACTCCCGAATAACTTTTAAACAACTAATAAGGGTACATTTTAGTATTGATAAGGAGTTGAAGGGCAGAGCTTAGAAACTTGAAAAAGCATGGGTACACCTTAGAAACTCGAATACCTTAAGGGTATAGCTTAGAAAAACCCTAAAAAGTATTAATGTCAACAAATCAGAATTAAAAATTTCATTGATCACATTTTTCATAGGGGTTCTTGATGCAGTAACTGGTGAAAGAGTTATTGTTCAGGTTTTTGCGCTACCTGCAATTCAAGTGACATGTAATTTCAGTGACTTATTCTTGGTGTTGCATCTTTTATATACAACTGATTTGAAGATTCTATTTTTTGATTTTCATGTTTATACAATTATAAGCAGCTTCGGCAGCAAAAGGTTACAAAAATAAACGTCGTACAAACGTGGAGGGTGAATGTAGTGATCAAATTCAAAGGTTATTTGAGACTTAATGGTATATTGTTGATATTTGATTTTAATAGGAAAAAATTACTAAATTTGTGTTTGAATCCTATTTAAAATGTTACAGGATCAACCCAATGGAAATTTTCAAGAAAAGGAAATCAGCAAAGTCCTAGCGACAAGTAATTTCAGAGTTTTCTTTTTTGGTATTACATTTTTTCAATAAATATTTGTATTACAAATACTTTGTAATGATCATTGTTCATATTTTTCACATAGGGATGTGATGCTCTAATTGGTAAAAAAATTCCTACTAAGTCTTATCTGCTTCCTGCACCTACCTACTATCATAAGTGTATGGCCAAGCAATTTGCTTTTGAATCACTTCACTTCTGCTGTGGTGATGGAGAAATCAGGATTGATGCTAATTATTACCCTCCACAGCTTGTGTGTTTATTAACTTCTAAAGATGAAGAAGAAAAAAATTTCAGGAAGTATGTGCGATTGTATAATAATTTCTTCGCTTTCACTTCATTGGGTGGTGATCATAAAGCTTAAACAAAGAATGGAATCTATGTTTTTAAGTTACATGGACAGATTTATCATAATATTCCCAGTTTAGTTCATGGAGAAAAAGGGCCACAGTATATATGCAATTGTACTTTTATGATGGACAGCAAGAATTAGCTAATCGTTTAAAGTGTTTTTCTACGTTAAGAGAAAATATTTTGGCTATGTTGATGGAGATTACAAATCTAAATCCGTATGCCAGATTTTTTCAAAGTTTGAGGGGAGTTTCGATTAGTGATTCAACACAGATTTTACTGAATTAGACTACAGTTCCTGATCAGCGTGTTTATAATGCTCCAACTACAGATGAGGTTGTTGTTATTTAGCCAGAGAATACTTCTTCCGGTGAGTCTGAAAGTCCACACATATTGGTTACTGGTGTAGATGATTATTCTCATATGATCCAACACTATTATGGTTGCTATGATCCTTTACAGTATCCTTTGCTATTTCCATATGGTGATTGTGGGTGGACTCAAGGACTAAAGAAGATGTCTATGGGTGGATTACAGCAGTTACAGTCTCAGACAGATCTAGTTTCTTCATGTAGTATACATACAAATAAAGAGTTGTTAGATGAAGAAGCTAGGCGTATGAGTTCATGTCTTTTATTTCTAATTAATAAAGTATATTTGATTTTATATATGTCATATACATGCTTTTATTGCTAATTTTATCCTTATTTTTCCAAATATTGATTTACAGGTGCAAATGGAGGTTCATCTAAGGCAGATAAGCATATTTCATCTCGAGAATATTATGCATATAGGCTTCAGTGTCGTCCGGGAAATTACTTGCTCAGAGCTGGAAGATGTTTTCAACAATATATCGTTGACATGTATGTCAAGGTAGAGAATACACGCTTGGATTTCTTTCGAAGGAACCAACAAACAATAAGGGCTGATCTTTATCAGGGACTTCTTGATACTATAGATTGTGGAGAAGAATGTGCAGCAAATGTTGAAAGACGAGTTATATTGCCTGCAACGTTTATAGGTGGCCCTCGAGATTTGAATAAGAGATATCTGAATGCGATGTCATTAGTTCAAAGGTTTGGCAAGCCTGATTTATTTATAACAATGACATGCAATCCTAATTGGCCTGAAATAAAACAAGAACTTGCTGCTGGAGAAGAAGCACAAAATAGGCCAGGTATCGTTTTAAGAGTTTTTAGGGCAAAGGTATTTGCTTTAAAACATTTAATTAGAAAGAAGAAAATATTTGGAGAAGTGGTTGCAATGATTTATGTTATTGAATTCCAAAAAAGAGGTTTACCTCATGCTCATTTTCTCATTATTTTGAAATCAGAATTCAAAATAAAGACTCCTGATGACTTTGATAAGTTTGTTTGTGCTGAAATTCCATCTTCTGAAAATGGATATTTAAGAGAGATTGTGATCAAGCATATGATGTATGGTCCATGTGGTTATCTTAATACAAAATGCCCTTGTATGAAACATAAAGAACAACGTGGACATTGTAAGTATGGTTATCCAAAGAAAAATTGTGAAGAGACAAAAAGTAACAGTGATGGATATCCTTTGTATTGAAGGAGAGCTACGTGTGATACTGTCAAAGTTCAGGGTGTTGAAATGAATAAATCATGGGTGATTCCGTATAATCTATATCTTTTAGCTTATTTCAATTGTCACTTAAATGTTGAATTTTGTTCAACTATTGAAGCTGTGAAGTATCTGTATAAGTATGTTTATAAAGGCCATGACAAGATATCTTTCAATATTGTCCAAAAAAAAGATGGAGTTCCCATGCAAGATGAAATTGAACAGTATCAGTCAGGTCGATGGGTTTCACCCTGTGAGGCTGCGTGGCGTCTTTTTGGTTTTGATTTATATGAAATGTATCCTTCAGTTTTACCTCTTCCTGTTCACTTGCCTAATTCCTAGCTAATACAAATGAGACCTCACGAACAACTGACATCAATTGTTTCAGATGCTAAGCGTACTAGAACCTGTTTAACAAAGTTTTTCAAAATGAATTGTAAATCAGCTTTGGGAACAGGATGGCTATATAGTGAATTTTCAGAGCACTATTGGTGGAATGCATCAGATAAACTGTGGAAGACAAGAAAGAATAAAAAAATCCAGATTGGAAGGTTAGCATTTGTTGGACCTTCTGAAGATGAAAGATACTATTTGCGGTTGCTGCTTCACAATGTCAGAAGTCCGAAGTCGTTTGAAGATTTACGTACAGTCAATGGGCACATTAATGCCACTTTTCAGCAGGCAGCACTGAAGTTAGGATTAATGGAAGAAGATGATGCAATTGAATTGTGCTTGACTGAAGGATGTGCCATCCAAATGCCTCATGTTATTCGAAGATTGTTTGCCACGGTACTTATCTTCTGTCAGCCTAGCGATCCTCTTTCTTTGTGGACAAAATATTATGATTCTTTTTTAGAGGATTACCGATATAAATATCCTACAAATGTTGTAAGAGTGAAACATTTAGTCGTAAGATCGATTGAGCAATTAGTTGAGTCAATGGGAAGTTCGTTGAAGGCTTTTGGGTTACATAATTTAGTAGAAGATGATGGTGATTCTATACATGTTACGAAAGATATAGAAGATGCATTGAATGCTCCGATACCAGAAGAGTGTTTAGAATGTAAAGAAAAGTTAAATCAGGCTCAACGAGTTGCATTCGATGTCATAATGGATCATGTTACAAAGGGGAAGCCTGGTGCCTTTTTCATAGATGGTCCTGGTGGAACGGGGAAAACTTTTTTATATAATGCTCTTTATGCAGAAATCAGATCAATGAATAAGATTGTTTTACCAACAACAACTTCGGGTATTGCTGCAGCCAATATTCCTTCTGGTAGAATTGCGCATTCACGGTTTAAAATCCCTTTAGACCCTTCGAGCTCACTTCCTTGTAATGTTCCTAAGCAGGGAAGTTTAGCTGTGCTTTTAAGAGAAACAACATTGATTATTTGGGATGAAGCTTCTATGGATAAGAAGGAAAATATTGAATCCCTCGATTCACTACTAAGAGATATTTGCAATTTAAGTGTATTATTTGGAGGCAAATTAGTAGTATTCGGTGGGGATTTTAGACAAGTTCTTCCAATTGTTCCACGTAAATCTCAGAGAGAAGCAGTTGCTACAAGTTTAGTTAGTTCTGCTCTGTGGCCACAACTGCTGAAGTTCAAGGTTACTGAAAACTTAAGGTCTAAAGATGATCCTGCATATGCAACTTTTCTGTTGGCACTAGGAAATGGTGAATTGCAAAAAACGGAGGATGTGTTTGTTGAGCTGCCATCAGATATTGTTAAGCCTTATTGTACTGGAATAGATGATGATGTACATCTAACAGATGTAGCATTTCCAGAAATGGATATGTTTCCATTTAATTCAGACATTTTTACTACAAGAGCTATATTGACACCGATGAATGAGGATGTTGATGCCATAAATTCAATTTTGATTTGCAAATTCCCGGGTGAATCAGTAGTGTACAAAAGTTATGACACTATGATTGATGAATATTGTGTCGTATATCCTACTGAATTTCTAAACAAACTTTGCCCTGGTGGTATGAGTCCTCATGAGCTTGAGCTGAAAGTTAATAGTCCTGTTATTCCGTTAAGAAACCTTCTGCCAGCAACTGGTTTGTGTAATGGAACAAGACTCATATGCAAGCGGTTTTTCCGTAATCTCATTGAGTGTGTTATTACTGTTGGACATAATAATGGTCGGCACGTGTTGATTACAAGAATATCATTACGTCCATCGGATTGAGAAGGCTATCCTTTTCAATTTCAGAGAAAACAGTTTCCTTTGAAACTTAGTTTGCAATGACAACAATAAAGCTCAAGGACAAACACTTAGTCAAGTTGTGGTTTTTTTACCGCGATCCTGTTTTTCACATGGACAATTATATGTCGCACTTTCTCAAGCTTGTAAATCAGCTAATGTTAGTGTAATAACTGAAGCTAGCACTAAGCAACGGAAGGCGACAAAAGTGAAGAATATAGTATCTTATGATATTCTTCGTTTGGCAGGAATCATTTAGAGAGGCAAAAGAGGTAAGTTATCATCATTCTTTTTCATTCATATTGGTTTTGAGAGTGTGTATATTTTCTTAAAACCAATAATTTCTACACCATTACAATGAGTAAGCTTATTTTTATTTTTTTAATAACTTTTATCTGTTTTCCTATGTGTTTGCAGTGATGGAACAGCTAGGAATTTAATCTAAAAAATTCATTTGTAAGTTATTTTTCATTTTAAGTCATGTACATGAACATATTTGTAGTTCAAAATATAGATTTTAAAATCATGAGAAATGCCACAAAAATGTAAATGTAAATAGTGGAAAATTAGATATGTTAATCTTATTTTCATTATCAGAGAGGAAAAAAAGGAAAAAAAAAAGGAGAAAAAGGAGGAGACAATAACACTATTACATGATGAGATAGTTCATGCATGCAATCTCTTTTGGAAGCGGGGTGGAAATTTCTGTCATCAACTTTTGCATGCATTCTTTTCCCATCTATTTTTTTCACTATATAAGCAATGTTTAGCATCATTTTTATTCTCTAAAAAACCAACTAATTCTAAACTTATGCTATACATAAAAAAAAAATCAAATACATAAACAATTGGTTAAGCTGTACTAGATTCAGCACACAGCAATCAGTCATCAACTACTTCATAGGTATGATCAATCCAAATTTCGTGTTAACATAAATTTTGTTATCACTTCATAGATTTAGATAGATATGCATGTGTTATTATTTCTTAGTTTATGGCTTTTAAATTGTCTCTGTTATATAAATTGTGCATGCTAAAAATTACTAAGTTAAGTCTGAGATCATCTATTTCAAGCATGCAGTATGAAACTTTCAACTTTAAAATCATAACAAGCTTAGATAATTTTAGGGAATTTGCATAATAAAAAGTGTATTTTGAGTATCTACAAATGCATGCACAATTTTCTTTCATTTATGTGATTTGAACATCAATTTAAGGCATGAAAACTGATTTATAAATCATACACATTAGATGTTGTACAGTAGGAGCAGAAGACTGATGTTATTTTTCATTTCTAACATTCTGCATGCATAGTCTGAGAATCATCTGTTTTAAGTATGCAGTATGAAACTTTTTACATTAAAATCATAACAAGCTTAAATAATTTTAGGGTATTTGCATAATAAAAAGTGTATTTTAAGTGTTTACATATGCATGCACAATCATCTTTCATTTATGTATTTTGAACATCGGTTTAAGGCATGCAAACTGATTTATGAATCATACATATTAGATGTTGTACAGTAGGAGCATAAGACTGATGTTATTTTTCATTTCTAACATTCTTCATGCATAGAAATTGCTAATTAAAATTTGCAAAACATCCATTTCATACATGCAATGTGTTACTTATAGATACATTTAAAAAAAATCCTTACAGGATTAGAAGTGTATTCTGAATTTGTACATGATGCATGCATAATTATCTCTGATTTTTTTAAAAAAAAATAGGTGAAAGCATGCAAAATGATTTTAAAATCATATAGATTAGATATTTTGTACAATTAAAAAAACAGACTGGTACTATTTATATTTCAAACATTTTGCATGCATAAACTTGAATAAAAACTCTTTTACTTAAGGCATGCAGTATGAGACAGGTTTGTAGCATTTAAATAGGTTTTCTTTGATCATAATATTTAGTTATTTCAAAATTATCAAACAGAGAACATCTTCATGGCGCCACAACGGAAATTCCTAGATGAAATCGATACAACTACAAAAAATTTCAAGGTCAAAGTAAGGGTTGCAGAGAAGGGTCATCCACAAACATTAGAAAAAAATACACGATATCAGTGTATGTTTTTCGAAGATGACAAGGTATATCGATTTAATTCAACATACATTTTGAAACTCAACATTCAATTTGCACAAATTGATGAAAGCACTTAAAAAAATTAACAAATTCTTGCTTGTTACAGAATAACCGGATGAAGATGACACTTTTTGGTGACCAGATTCTGGCATAATGGGATGTTATTAGTTTCAGAGGAAACTATGAGATAGCTGATGCTGTAGTAAGGAACTTGGATGCACAACGGAGGAATACAGAAGATGACATTCCATTTCATTTGTCATTAGGAAGCAAGACTGTCATCCGATCTTTGGATCTTAAAGGAGAAACAATTTACCCCATATATCAAACACTTGCTTCCATTCCAAGCATCCCTATTGATGATGATAGACATGGTAAACATATTATATGAATTACATATACAACCATATAATTTGTTAAATACATCAAAGTGGCATAATACAAAATGTTAGTATTTAGTGTGATTTTTTTTTTGTTGTTTCAGATATACTTGTGTTAGTTCTTTATGTATCAGAAGAACCAAAGAGAATAGTGACATCACCTAACAAAGAGACATCAGCTCGAGATCTTATGGTGATAGATCTCAGGTAATTGCTGTTAAAGACTGACTAATATCTTTGCATTCATTTCATTTCATATTATACTAACACAAAGTGAATATTAAAAAACCTCTAATTTCAGTAGTGATCAGCCAATGAAAGTATGCACTTGGAATGACCTTGCTAGAGAACAGTCTGAATCAATTGTCTCAAACAGTGACTCTTTCAAAGTAATTGGTGTCACAACTCTACGGCCTATTACTCGACAAGGTAAGATAACAACTTAGATCATATTAAAATTTTCAAATAATAAACACATGTAAAATATCTGAATCACAGTATGAGTATTAACATTTTCCAAATAACAGGATTTTCGCTTGAATCAACCATGTCAACTTTCATTCTGAAGGACCCCCAAGGCGACAAAGCAGAAGCTTTAGCCGAATGGTATAGTGTTGAAGAATTTTCTTTCCTAAATATTGAAAATGTTAGCATAGTAATGTTTTGAACACAGATTCAGAATTCTGAGAGAAACCCAAACTGCAGTTTTTGTGATGTGAGTAAAGCATAAATTGATATTCCATTTGTTTGTTTGATCTACTAATAATAGTTTGAATGTTGAAGTTTTTCACAATATTGAATATACAGTAATTTACGAAACCATAAATTTATGACAATTATTTGGTCTTGATAAAAAAGGGCAAAGAGACATCGATGTATGCTTATCAATGAACAACAAAGAATCAGGGAAGCCTTCAATCCAACAGCCGAAAGAACTGTAACAACTATTGGCCGCCTGAAAGCCAGAAGGTATAATTTTGCAGCATATCTTTGAAATAATTAACAGAATCAATATGCATAGCAAGCACTATTTCATAATATGTTAATATCTAACATTATAATAACCTTGGTTTATATATTTATAATGCAGTCAGCAAGTACACTTCCACAAGAAGTGTTTTGGTTAAATGTTGTAACTACCGATATAGAGTTTGAAAGATTAAGAGCATATATAGGATGCTCCCACTGTGGAAAGCGAACAGATCTTGCTGTTGGAACGGTCTACAGCTGCAAAGCATGCTCAAGGAAAGACATACATGTTGCTTACAGGTATAAAATTCATCAAAATAGAAAATTCATTATACTTTTCAACGATTATGTTGTTATACATAAAATCACACTAACACTATTGCTTATAATAAGCAGGACAACCATAACTTTCAATGTCTCTGATGGAACTGGATCATTGGAACTCACTGCATTCACTGATGTTTGTGATAAGCTTTTTCGAATGCCAATTCAGGAAATCTATGAAATGAAAACAATGGTATACAACATATTTTTCAATAATTATCATCTCATTATATAACACTGACCTCACTACATACTACAAATGTGAAACTCTATTTAATTTTCATTTCTATGTGATTAGGAACAACTTGACAAGTTCTAGGAGACAGTTTGCAACAAAGCATTTTTTGATCAAAGTTGGACCCATAACTGCACTGTAAAAGAACAAGGTCTTGCAATGGGGACTTAAGGGTGTATATATGGTGGTGGAACCAACATCAGCTACTACTGAACAAGACAGCTCATCAAATGTTGTTTCTAGTTCTGAAAGCAAGAAAGTAGTTACAGAAACCAGCATAAAAACTGCAGAGGGTGAAGTGATTCAGAAGACACTACTCAAGTCAACAAAACATACGAACTCAGCTGACACGAAAGAAACACCACACAGGGATGATCTTATAGACTCTAGTCAAGAGGAAGAAGATGCTTGTGTTTTTGCTGAAAGTTTGATTGCAGCAAGTGACAACAATCAAGACAGTGCTGAAGATTTCAGCCAGAAGCAAAAGAGATCTGGAAATGAAGCAGAATTGGATTTCCACACACCAACTAAAGAAGTGATTGACATGGCGGCTCAAGACACATTTGCCAAAATGGAATCAATGGTTACCAAGCGGTTCAATGGAATCAGATCAGGCTTCTTTAGGTGCGAAGGAAGGCAAGGCTATCGGGTCTGAGGAGCAGGTAAATTCTGAATTCAAGTTACGCAAAGTCAAGCAGTAGAGGGTTACCAAGCGCCGAATACTCATATTGCAAGATGATGATGAGGAAGATTCTTAGAATCATGCAACCACTCTCACAAAAGATCAAGTCAGCAACAGCTTCAACAAGTATTAACAATCTTAAAAATATATTTTATAAATATTTTGTAATGTGTGGCATTAACTAAGAACAAGTACACTAAAATTACTTGTTCCTAAATAACACCACTTATTAAGGGATTAGCCTAAACTAGGCACTTAAATATTTTGCAATCGGCTAGCAACTATAATGATTTTGGGTGTTTAAATTACTGTAAATGCTATATAGTAATCCAAATATGTAAATAGGTAGCAGTTTGCAGTATTAAGAAGTAGTTATATAAAAAAAACAGCAGCTATGTATGTACTATGCTTGAAGATGTAAACCATGTTTTCCCTTATATAAAAATATATACTCGAATTATAGTATATTTTCTACTTGAAATAGATATATATATTACATAACTATTCAAATTTGTGTTAGAGTGAAAAGTCTGATCCACTAAAAACAATTCAAAACCATTATTATACCAAAAAAAAAAGAAAAAAAAAACATCCTAGAACAACAAGGCCATAATCAAGATGGTTATCCCATGTGTTTACATTGAAACTAAATCAACATCAAACACAATAGAGACTCCTTTCCTATATTTAGAAATTGAGAAATTTCACACATTAGGTGTTAAGACCAATGTAATAACTACATAGTATGCTATATATGTAAATAGGTAGCAATCTACAATATCAAGTATTAGTTATATGAAAAATCAGCAGCAATGTATATATTATGCTTGAAAATGTAACCCATGTTTTCAGTTATATAAAAATATATAATCGGATTATGTATATTATTTTCCACTTGAAATAGATATATTTATCATGTAGTTATTCAAATGTGTGGAACAGATTAGAAAAGTAAGATCCACCAAAAACAATTTATAACCATTATTATATATATATATATATATATATATATATATATATATATATATATATATATATATATATATATATATATATATAAAAGGGAAACCTAACAACAACAAAGCCTTAATTAAGATGGTCATTCCATAGGTTTACATTGAAAATAGATCAATGTCAAACACAATAGGGAATCCTTTTCTATATTTAACCAAGGCACCTATATCTACTTGAACATTATAGAAATCAATGAACTGACTAACACAATTTCTAATGGAACATTTACTGATAGCTCTCAGTTTCTTCAAGACTTTCAGCTGCACATTGAAATGTGTATCGGCAAGCTGAAGAATGACATCGGTAGTCTCAGGGAAAACAATGAAATTTCGTTTAGCAAACTCGAATGGAACGTTCTGTCATTGAAAATAAAACACAAAATCAAATAATTATGCCAAGAGAAAGAAGAATAGATTGAAAAAAAACAAAACAAAACAAACATGATGATAGCTAACAAAAATCATAATATAATTCCTTGATCAACATAGGCTTTGGTAAAAGTTAATAAGAATTGATGTTCACGACAGCCAGCTGCAAGCTTGGCAAGGCAAGCATTGGTTTTGATCATTTTAGATGAGAGCTTTTCAATAGCAGGTTTCCTCCCACGCCTTTTACCTGAAGTACTTGAACTTCCACCATATCCATTTTCCTCAGCTTTCTTACTTCCCCTGGATCTGCGGATTTCAACATCAAATGAGCTATCCCCAAAATAAGTAAATATCAAAGCATCACGAGCATCTACACCATTATCCTCTACAAAATCAGACCACCCAGCATCAAGATATGTTCCCCATCTACTACCACACTCTTTATGCACTAAAGTAACGAACCATGACTTGTCATTACCATCCACTGACTACTCTATGTTAAAGAAACCATCATTAAGAACATCTCTGAAGCCATCTGGAATACGCTATTTACAGGCACACAAGAAACAAACACCACAGTACAGGTACAAAATCAAAATCCAAAATCAAAATTCCAAAAATTAATCATCAACAAAAATGAATTAAATAGTACACAAAAACAGAAACAAGAATGCATACCAATTTTTCATGTTGCTGAATATCATTTTCATACAGAATGGTAAACGAAAGAGAGATTCTGTCCATGGAAATTTCCAATGTCAAAATACTTAGAACTCGAAACAATTGAATTAAAATGTAAGTCTATGTAATAGCTTAACTCAAAATACTCCATACCCTTCACAAAATTATTCAATATATAAGCTAAGTCAAAACTTTGAAACTACAACACCATTAATTAAATTCAAGTCTGAACTAAAAGTAACACTTCTACAAGTAACCTTCACAATACAAATGAAACTTCAGATTCCATTTCACCAATAATAACAACAATAAAAACATAAAGTCAAATAAATGCCATAATAGTCAACTGCATTTTCATTTAACTTACAATAATTAATATATGTTTTCTTCTAAATAATCTGTATTCATGGACAAATTGTGATGTGAGATAGAATCAAATAGCAATTACAATATTCATACAGAGAAGAGTAGAAAGACTCCTTGTCAGCACATTCACACAAAATAATCTAAACCAATATTTTCTTTTAAAACTAAGAGTTCTGCACCAAAATTAGAAATCAAAGGCTACTGAAATCAGCTCCTTTAAATTATCTACACACTCAACAAACTACTGATGTGTAAAGCAAATTGACTTTACAAATTTGGATCCTTTTTCAAACAGTCTTTTGATTAGGCCTCACACTCCAATTATCAAGCATTCATTTTTAGCATTACCTATCAGCAAACTTTTCATTAAGCTTAACACTCTAACCTCCTTGTCTAACTTATAGCTTCTGACTACTGCAATTAGACAACAAAAAAACGAGCCTAACTTGAAGATATTGACACCTTTGACAAGTAATTTTAAAGACAACTAAACAGTAATGTTTTTAATGTCATTAAAACGACCTAAATGTTTGAAATGCTTTTAATATTTCACTAAGTTTTTTTTCTTGATTTGTGCATGCATTTAGATTACTTTCCTATATGTGATTTTACTCATACTTTCTAGCCTTAAACTCTGAAAAACTAGCAAACTAACAAGGCGCGCGATAGTAAAAAAATGGTTGATATCGGGTGTTGATATTGTTGAACGTTTTTCTTAATTTAAATATTTGTATATACTTTGAGAATTTAGCGATTTCTTTTAAATAGGAATAATTTGTATTGTACCATTCAGACATTAATTTCCTGATATTATACTCTCTAATCACCTTTATATATATTTAGCATTTAGGAGTTATTTGTCACCACTAGCCAACTCTGCCTTCTTCTCCTAGCTATCTTAATGCAGTGAGTAATAGAAAATCCTCAATATCTTGATGTTTCATTCTGAATTATCACTACAACCTTCCCTCTATCTATCTTAAAACCTCTTTTTTCTCCTAAATCATCACTACATCCATCCCTTTCTTTATCTCACGACCTTTTTTTCTTCCTTTATAAATTTCTTTCTCCCTATATATCTAAATTATACATTTCTTTTTCTGTGAATCTCAAAATAACTCCTGATTATGGACAGAACGATAAATACAACAATATAGGTAGTGAGAATTTGGTACAAGATATATTTGATTAACGATATAGAAGAAAAAATCTATTGCTAATATTGAACTCATACTGATATAGAAAATCTCAAACAAAACTATTTAATTAATGGTACTGAAGTCATGTAAAACTTAAGCTTTACAAAACTATATAAACAAAAATACCAAAATCATCAAAAATCTAAAATTTATTAAATCATCAAATATGACAAGTTCAACACTTCTGCCTACGATATTAATACATCAGGAATTAGCACTCAGTTGTAAATGTATATATAAAACAATAGGGTTTCACTTCAAAAGCTCAATTACAGCACCTTCATCAACCTGAACTTGGTATTCATCGATCACTGCATCAACTCCATCCTTAATAAAACATCGCACAATTTTTTCATTATAAGTCTTTATTTTCAATTTGGCTTTGAAATCTGTATCATAAAGTTGTAGCACAACATCAGTTGTTTTCCAAAATATACAAAAATGCTTTCTAGCAAAATCTAAGGGAATATTTTGCATCGCAAAATAACGTGTTAATCCAAACTTAAAATATGATTGACTACAAAATAAGCAAACTACATTTTAAATATATTTGTGTTTAAACAACTCATACAATAATTCCATTTGAATGGTAGCACTCAAAAAATACAAAATGAAAATTTGCTTTTACACGGCTAGCTGACATTCTATTCGCCCAAACATTTGCCTCGATCATCGAAGATGACGAACCTTGAATCAAAGGCTTTCGCCCATGCTTTTTTACCATCCTTACCAAAAAATAACACAACACCAAAAAAAAATATACAGAAGTATTCA